GACAATTTAAGTACAGAAATTATATAGCTAGAATTCGATTAATAAATATAAAAAAATGAGAACCCCCGCAAAGGACAAAACCCGTATTTTCTTTCATATCAACAGAACTAGAGAAAGGGCATTTTACTTAATTTCGCATAATAAGGGACATACATGTGCATTGAAAGGTTATGCACTTCACATGGAATAATTTTTAGTTGATACAGATTTTAAGGGGAAAAAAGCAGATTCCTTGAAATTCTGCGGTTAGGTAAAAACGCAACAATATACAATATGTAACATTTTATATTATGAATCAACAAAGGAATGTCAGAGTTCTTCATTTCGAAGTGAAATGTTTTCGCTTGATTTCAATTACATGGCGTCAAAAACGTTTTTTTTATAATTTTTATCTGAGAGCTCCATTTTTGTTCAATTTGTCATCAAAGTCAGAACTACGGTGATTATGCTAGCTAAATTGTTTTGATTGGCGAAAAAAAGAAATTTACATGTGTGTACCAATAGATAACTGAATGAAATGGGTGTGTATTTTTTAGAAGACGAGGGTTCGAAATATATAGATGCTTGTTTTATTTCCCTCCAAAATGTAATACTATCTACTTATAAATTCGAAGCCGCGGAAACACAATATTATCAAATCTACCGTCTACGTAAGCGAGGTAAATATTTCACTTCGTTACTAAAACATTGTGCGATTGATTTGTCTAGCTATGAATATACGCGTTTATTCAATTATATTATATAAATACTAGGACCTTCCCTTTAGAGAGCCAGGTACTGCCGTTGCTTATAATCAGCATCAGCTATGCGCAGCGAATAGAAGCAAATCATGTACACTTTATCTGTTCGCCATCGAATTATTCCCGGCGTTTGATTTGCATATCGAGTGAGAGTCAATGCTGTAGTGAAACACGCTGTCATCTTGGGGCGACCATTAAAGGTTAACTAACATACAGCTCCAAAAACAAATGCACTAAACGCCGTCAATTATTAGTGACGAATAAGTACGGGTCGAGCCAGACGTCCACTGCCGAACACACAGCCCGTCTACTGCATCTGAACATGCTGCGTCTTTAATCGTTCGCTGAAGCTACTAGTGCACAGAGCACCCTGCATAAAAGCAACCTCATGAATATGTATGACGTGGTAGCGAGAAGCTTTTCTCAGCACGCCACACACACTGTATGGTAGGGGCCCCCCATGCATGCATCGCAACGATATGCTCCAGCATTTCATGTCGCCGCACCGCGCCACTCCGCTGTATAATCTCACACAGTGTCATCGGTTTGAAATTGCTCTCGTTGAATCTCTGATATTTTCATCATAAATGCTCTGATCAGACCATGATATGAGCAATATTCTTCATCCCCGAGGAGACCAGAACATCAATTCTCTTCATTGGAACCAAATTTGGAGTATTACACCTTTTGTCATATGGAACAGTATCTTTGGTAGATAGAGACATGGAACCAACAGCAATAAGCGATATATTCTTGTAACTGTTAGTGGGCACTCATACTTCAAGTAAGTATATACGTTCATTTCATATACACCCGTCGCTTGCAAGCACCCCTAGTAAAGTACCTAATTATTGTATACCTTTTCAGTATTTTAGAGGTATATGGTATTTCGTTCGTAATGAGGTACTTGTACGGGAAGGAATGGACCATAGTTTATAATGGATACATTGTATTATCAAACTGTGTTTGTATGCTGTCGTTCACACCTGTTTACATCCACCTGCTGTGGTATATAACAAGGTGGATGACGCCATAATTCTACGAAAGTGATTGGAAAACAATAGCTTCCAAATATCCCACGTCGCATGCATGTAGACGCCTTTCCATTTCATTACAGCGCATGCTAAATCGTAGAATGAACTACCGACTACGTGTTGTATTAATGAAATGCATCAAATTTCGTGATCTATCGCCAACCTCGATTCCTCATAACATAATTTACCAAAATGAATGCCTTAAAAACTCAATCATTTTCCTTTCAAATGCAAGTCAAATGTTAGGCTTGTTAGAGGAGCCTGCTCCTTTGTATATGAAGAACTGAAATATGGCGCCATTATTTTGTATTCCGTTCATTAGTATTCCTTTGAAATCTGGTTTCCAAGAGGAATTATAATGCACAAGCAATGCGATTCCCCTTGTCCATTACCACATTTTTGCTCATTTTATAGGTAACGCCATGATTTAGCTCGTTCATGCTTCGTAATGTTACAATGTACGGGTTGACATACAGTATAAGAGACAGCACTGCCTCACCCGGTATATCTCATAGCATTTTCTTGACATTTGACAAAGTCATAGACACGATGCGAATTCTTTTGCAATTCATCGTGATGAAAACAAGAAGGCCGATATGCATATATAATTATGGTTACCCTGTGTAAAAAAAATAAATATAATTCAACATAAAATATACATTTATATCATGTAAGTCGTATGCATGCTCTACTGCGGGGGCATGGTTAATAAATTCATTATTTATTTTGGGAGAGGGAAGATTCTAACTGTACACACGCTCCGGAATATGTATACCATACATACATGTAATTACATACATGCATATAATTTTGATTCTTTCTATATTAGCTGTGTTCGATGGTAAAGAGATCACACTTTGATGAAATGCATTTTATGCCAACTTTTTTATTTTATTGCCAAATTTTCGGAAGCCTCCCCTTTTATCATGGATGACATTATGTATTTAGGCTTATAATGAATATTATGAAGTGTTGTTAACATGCTAACAGTGAAGTAATGAATACACCGGTCAAGTTTTCATCACAAAGTAAACTAGTAATTCATTAGGCCAGCCGGTCTATTCCAGTCTTCTTGTGATTAACTATGTTCCCACATCAAAACCCATAAATTGATCGACATGAGAGAGTTACACAACATCTAGGGGTTTCCTTTCATTTCCCCTTTGCAATATATAGTGCCAGGAAATTTACGATGAAATCCTACACCATTCTAGATGTAATTACTGATCTACATGCATGTAGGCTGAATTTAATTTATGCTGGTATGTATTGTTACGTGTGGTATAACAGAGGATTGGGCGTTGGTGTGTGGATGTAAATTTATGCATTTTTTCACCGTTTGGTGAGTGTGATACATCGCATGAATAACCAGAATCTTCTCTGGTTTCGGACAAATATTGATTAGAAATCCTCCCACAGTAAAGTGATTAGCATAAATTAAAATGTCAACACAATTTCGATTGTCATGAATATTCAACGACTTCTTTTACACACAAATCATTAAATCGTATTATCATCCGCGTTTACATGAATATACCACATTGAATGTACATGTACGGGTGTCGTATGCGTTCTAGTAACTTATGATAATAATATATATTTATTTATTTATTTTAAAGGCAATATGATGTTGTGATTATATTTCTTTTAAATTTCATCTTCCAGTTGACAGTCACTTAGATTTTTCTTTAGACCTATACGTTGTAGCTCAAACTGATAGCCCATACACATGATAGATCAGCAGTGTCGTGAATTGTTAGATTTTGACAACTAGTTCTATTAGTACTCGACATAAAGCTTCTTATTTATAAATACTGCGTACTATTTATGACGATGCTTACATTTTGTAAGTCAATCCTCTTCACAGAACATGATTTTTAATGTGTGAAGAAGAATCACTAGGTATCCCACTCCTGCCACCCGATAAACAATCTCATCATTGTAAAGAAGGATTTCGAAACGTTTGACAACAAGTTCTATAAGTAATCTTCATGAAGCATCGTATTCATAACTTTACATCATTGTAAAGTAGGATTTCGAAACGTTTGACAACAAGTTCTTTTAGTAATCTCCATGAAGCATCGTATTCATAACTTTACATCATTGTAAAGAAGGATTTCGAAACGTTTGACAACAACTTCTATTAGTAATCTTCATGAAGCATCGTATTCATAACTTTACATGCGATGCTTTTCCGGAACGTGGTTAAACTTGAAGACGTCAAAAGGGATGAATCATTTCGTGTCATTCTTGAGTGCGCTGATGAAAGGTTTTGTCAATTTCGCCCAGCTTTTGATTCGTCAGTATTGGTCAGGACTGTCACGTTTCGGCCTTGGGCGTATATCGAATAGCATGCGATTCGCCCCTTGCATTACGGAGTTAGCCGACTTTTCGTATACGAGATAACCAGGTTCGATTCTATTCTTAATTAAGAAGGTTCTCCGATTGAGCAGAAACACAGTTAGCGCAGACGTTTATTCAAATTCTTTTGGTTTCCACTAATTAGTTAATTAGAAATGAATGAATCTTATTTCACAAACGGTGATACCGAATTCGAGGTTTCCATTACTATGAATCCTCTCTTGGGCGAGATGTCTATACATTTCGATCTTTCTCATCCCGTCAGCACTCCGCTAATCACGTTCGCCCTATACGTCTTTTTTGTCACCAGCACACCCCTTGATGCACTCTGAAAGCAAACAGAAATGAAACACTATCCTTCATTCCTTGGGATATGCCAAACATATCGAAATAAAATATACCTCTCATCTTTTTGTCGCCTGCTCGTTGATTTTGTTGTTGCTATCGTGTGGACTCGATGTATGTGTTTGTGATTGATAGACGCATTGAATGATTGTAATCGCAAAATGTCTCCTATTGCGTATTATTTTTGACGATGTTTACACTCTATAACTCTATTTTCTTCTCGGAAAATGATATTTGATGTGTGAAGAAGAATCATTTGATAAACCACTCCTGACATCCGATACACAATCTCTTCATTGTAAAGTAGGATTTCAAAATGCTTGGAAAACATCTGAATTATTTTTGTAAAGGTGACACAAAATTGAACTATATTTGCTTAACTTCAGTTAGTTATAAAAAGTAGCTTTCATGTTAATATCATACCCAACAAATCATTTGTAGACAAGTCATGTACTTTTTGTAACTATCGCACAAAATTAGAATCGATTTGATAAGTATTTTTCTCTTCTTGCCGTTACAGAATGGCGGCTCTGACAACGGGGGCGACTCCATACTCAGACGGACTGGAGGTGAACTTTGGTGGGGGTCCAGCCCGAGAGCCTCCCCCACCCTCACCCGAGGTCACACAGAAGAAGACTAAATCACCCGCGGGTTTCATCGTGTCTCTGCTGACCAGTAATCGTTCTCTCTTCATCTTCAGCGAGGAGAACTTCATTCGGAGATGTGCAAAATGGCTAACCGAGTGGCTATATCCTTTACTGCATTCATTTTTATACATTAATATACTAACGAAACTTGCTGTTTTATTTAATGCTGGTAGGGTATTGTTTATAATGCATGACAAAATGATTTTGATTTTGTTGAAAGGAGGTGAATTATTTTAACTTCTTTAATTTACAACATAACCCTAATTTTATGCCATTTGTATACTAGCATGTATTTCAACATGAAAAGCGTGAATTATTTACGTAATGGTACCCATAATGCGTTCAATACAACAATGATAATGAACCACATGGATGTTAAGTCTCTGTAGTCATCTCAACTCAATATTCCTTTAATAATAACTGATAATGGAGGTTCTGTACTAGATCAAACATGCTATAAGTTAAACGTATGTTTTCGATTTCTCTGACATTTGCTAGGCGAAGTATAGATCTATCAGAGTAGTACCCATATGCCTCTATATGTGTTTAAACACCAGGGTCCATAGTCAATAGTTCCCTTCAATTATGAATAATTTCTCATGACATTCATAAAAGGCAATATGCGATATATCAATGAATAATTCATGTTTCGTAATGTCACTCTGAATCAATACTTCACAATTTGGCTGTATAGTCTAGTGGAATAGTACAACCAGCAGATATAATTGTATTATAATTTGCGTACACATCACTAATTTCACATTTATAATATTGCTGTACATGACACGCGTGATATTAATATACGCATTCCCTCTCTTCCGTATGCGGCGCTCCATACAGGCAGGGTTAGATCGATACGCGGCATACCAGGTACATAATACACGAATCAATACCAAAGCTTACACAGACTATACTGCCTCATGCCATTGCCATATTGTGCTGAATTGCACAAAGACACAATGCGCTTTGACAATGGCGAAATTCATTGATGCAAAATTAATATTACTCATGTAGACTGTATTTTGTTGTAGGCCTACCTCATTACGTTAAACGATGATGCAGTTTAATTAGTACCATTCATTTTCTACTAATAAATATCAATATCTTTTTCAGAGCAAGTCGCTCATGTTTAACCTTTTAATGCGAATAAGACATTTTTCGTCCAGTGCTTTTGATGATGATTGCGCTTTTTAGGGGAGATGATCATCTGTTCATGTATCTCATTATCTATCTTTTCAGGGAACATAGTAGTAACTCCCCTATTAGTCATACCGAGATGTAGTGATATTTCTGAATGACTAAGATCGAAGGTTAATGTATAATTCACCATGCAACTAGAAACGAGGTCGTTATTAAGCAGTAAACATACAAGTAATTTTAGAGATAAATTTACCACTGCACTATACTCGCCGAATATTAAAGTATGGTTTTCATTTGTTTACTTCATTTTCTTTCAATATTTAATAGCCCTATGTGTTTTTACATTTCCGGGAAAGATAATTGAACAGGGAACATCAGCTCGTGGCATACTAGTATATTCTCCTACTCCGCCCTTTTCATGTTAAACGTAATTCGACCTTAAGGCACAAAATCCGAAACAGCTGTTGTCACGGTATATCTGTATGGTCCTTAAACCGTGGACGTATATATCAAAATACAATGTGTCATGCCCTTTAAGCGATTACTTACAGTTTGATATTTACAAGCATACCAATGCCTACAAACATGTATATATTTAAGGGAGTATCTGTCATTCCATTTTGATTTTACTACCGTTTTTTATGGGCACATCAAACAACGGATATCCACCAAAAGATGTTATTCAATTGCGTTTAAATCAAGGGCAAAAGTAGGCCTGCTTCGTGCGTTTGCAAAAATCTAAGATCGAGTTCTATTATTGCGCTGGATTTATATGCGATGAGAAACCACCACACGGCCGCATATTGAGCTCCCCTTGCAAGACAGTGATTGAAGAATTCGACATAACAAATCACTCTGTGGCATCTAAGACTCATTCAAAGAAAATAGGACTCGACGTGTAATTCCTGCACTATAAAATGGTCATCAATTCCAGCGCAGGTCACGTGACTGTTGCTTCGATTCACCTCGCGTTGCTTTCATCACGTAACGTTTCCATCTTGGAAGGATGAGATTAGAGAAAGAGATGCAGCCTGAGCTCCATCCTACCTCACTCTCTCTCTTGATGAAATGGATGCATGACATTAAAGGGCATCTCATATCTTGCAACCATCCAACTGGGGACTCTCCTTCCTGCAACTAATCCACACTCAATTCGTTTTCAATTCTTTACTTTATACCAAATGAAAAGACAAGACAGTCATAAAACAAACTTCACAACAAACTTCACAAAATGAAATTATTTCATATGTTTATAGAAAAAGTAAAGGGGTATAGGTACTTTTAAAATATAACCCCCGTTTTGATCAAGTTTCAAATAATATTATATGCCTGTATAATTTAATACGAAAGCTCCTGTACGCTTTTGTTCCGTGGCCATTAAAGCATGTATTTATTTTAAGATTTCACTTTTATCAGACTATCACTGTAAAAATGATGTATTTGTATCGTTAGTTCACTACTGTCTAGAGATGTATAGAGTCTGAGCATAATGCTAGTCCTTTTCGAAAAAAGGTAACCAGAAATATGTACGTACACGCTCCTTTCCAACCAGAACATAATATAACCTTCCTTCTTTGTAAATAACGCAATATCAAAATTAGAACCATACATAAAACTTGTTTTAGCATGGATCAACAAAGTTATTTTAAAAGCCCCGTAGACATGTTAAATTTCTCTTTCCTATATTATGTTCTGTATTATTATTATGAATTCCTGGAAATAATGAAAATGGGAAAATTAGATATTTACTTCATTACGTGGTCATGACATCCTGAGGTTTTGCTCACAGTTTACATAGTTCATTGGTGTAAAGTAAATTCTCACTCTGTAATACAGCAGGGAGGCTTCTAGAATATCACATTAACCTATAAACTTGGTAATTTTGAGATCGTGTTATTATCCTCGCATAGTTTATTTCTCACGAGTAATATTACTCCCACAAAAGCAATAACGCATCCACGATCCATCTGTTGTATTGGCTAAGCAATATTACCCGGGTTGTACGAGCAAATTTAGTCCAATCTTGTAAATATAGCTCGCATGATGATATCAAAATTGAATTTGTCACATAATTCAGTCTGTCTGGAGAAGTATTTTCACTTTTTTCTATGATTCAGGTAAGGGCAGTGTATGCGATGTGACAAGTACTCAGAAAATAGAAGACAGTTTAATTCCCTATGATATTACTTTACGTTGTTCACGCAACTCCCAGGAGGCATGTTCATAAGACATGCAAAGTACCTACCTAGTAATTTCTATGTCTTATTATATTATACCATCTAGGAAAACACAACAGCAGCATAAGTGGCTGCCAAATTAGTAGACAAACTCCCCCCTTCCAAAGACTTTTTCAGCGCAGACAATGATTGTATTCGTGACTTTTACGAAAGAAAAGGTGTACGTGAAAACAGCTTCGAGTTATTACCAATCAGTGAACAATTTGTTTTCAAAGAGTTACGTAAGTTGAATGTATCAAAAAGTACTGGGTTAGACTTGATTCCAGCTAAATTTCTAAAAGATGGTGCGAAGGTTTTATTTAAGCCTCTAAGTTACTTAATGAACCTATCTATCTTGACGAGTACTTTTCCAGAAGATATGAAAATAGCAAAAGTGACTCCACTTTATAAAAAGAAAGATAAAACTGATGTTAGCAACTATAGACCTATTAGTGTTTTAAGCGTAGCATCAAAGATTCTAGAAAAATCGGTCTGTGTTCAAATTGAAAGATACTTCAAAGAAAATGATATAATTTATGAATTTCAATCTGGTTTTCGACATGATTATTCGACTGAAACATGTCTAATTCATTTGACTGATTATTTGAGGAGAGAAACTTCCCAAGGGCGCTTTGTTGGTATGGTGCTCCTTGATCTGCAAAAAGCTTTTGATACAGTTAATCATTGCGTCTTATTGAAGAAGTTACAACTAATGGGTTTTGATAAGGCAAGTTTAGATTGGTTCAGATCCTACTTATCTAATCGGCACCAAGTAGTGGCCATTCATGATATTCGTTCCAAACTAATGCCTATAACATGCGGTGTTCCTCAGGGAAGTATTTTAGGCCCAATTCTATTTTCAAGTTATATAAATGATATGTGTACTTGTATAAAAGACTTCAAACTATTATTGTACGCAGATGACAGCGTACTACTCTATTCAAATCCTGATCCTAAATATATTGAGGAAAAGCTCAGTGAACAGCTGTCTACGTGTGTCGATTGGATGACTGATAATAAGCTTTCTTTACACTTGGGAAAAACAGAAAGCATTTTATTTTGTTCTAAAAGTAGTTCTAAAAAGTCATTTGAATTCAAAGTGAGACACAATAATCAAGCAATCAAGAGAAAAGAGTCTGTGAAGTATTTAGGCATTGAGTTGGCTAGCGCAATTTCATTTTCATCTTTAGTAGAATCAGTTGTAAAAAAAGCAAATTCTCGTCTGAAATTTTTGTACAGATATCAAAGTTGTATGGATTTAAAAGCAAGACGTACACTCTGTTTTGCTCTTATTCAATGTTTATTTGACTATGCTAACCCTGCATGGTACAGTAACATAAACAAGTCAGATCAAAAGAAGTTGAAGATTATACAGAACAAAATGGTGAGATTTATCAACTGTTCTGGTCCAAGAACTCATGTTGGCTATAGCGAACTTTCTAAAGCTGGTTTTCTTGAAGTCGACCAAAGATCAAAACAACTCGCAATGCATCACGTGCATAAAATATATCATACTAGGTCGAATCATTATATTCGATCCAACTTCGATCTTGTTATTGACGTACATGATTATAATACAAGAAATAGACGATTCAACTTTAACTTACCAGAAAGAGTAGGTAGTATTGGAAATTCGTTTTATTACAATGCCATAAAACATTGGAATTCCCTTCCCAATGGTGTAAAAGAAATAGGAAACTATGATCATTTTAAGAGGAAATTAAAGGAATACCTAATACTTGACA